CAGGAATGCTGTTCAAGAAAGCGGCTTTTTTGAGTGTACTATGCAAGTTAAATGCTTAGATGCAGTGGTAGTTGAAAAAAAAATCCTTTATTGTAGTTGAAGTCCTTCCTTGTATTGCTTCATCCACTGAAAAAAGAGCAAACCACCACCACCACCACCCATAAGTACCACCATGTCTTAGTGTTGTCTGAGAATAGTTCATGGTACAGAGTTGTATACCAGGGTACTCAGCATTGACTACTCTCTGTGGAGCATTCTAGCTTTACTGCTACTGGGTAGTAAGGTATCTGAGCAAGAGATGGTCAGAATTGACTTGGAATCACTCCCCAGTACTTACGCACAGGATTATACACTATTCATTTGGATTTAGTACATACTTTTGCGTGAATAGGTAAGCGCAGTGATCCAATACCACCACTTAACTCTAGGCTTAAACTCATACTAGAGAGTAGTGAATACCATGTATGCAAAACCTCCCATCTTAGGAACACAAACAGTAGTGATGCTTCGGCTGGAACTTGTGGGAAAGAGGGTGGATGCTGCAGTGGTTGAATAGTGATTGGCAGCTGCCCAGGTGGTGGGTAGGAAAGTGGTCGGTAGGAAAGGGGCATGGTTGGTATCCAGCCTGCTCCCGCAGGTGTCACTGGCCGCCCTTGGCATCTGCAGAGGGTCAAAAGCAGCGCATTAATCCTCGTGTCGCAGTGTTTGTGAACACCTATTCAAAAGACATAAAGATTTAAGCTCTTTCAGATTGTTCTCGTTAATAAGCATCAGCTTTCTAATCCTGTATTTTACCAACTCCAAGCTTCCTGCAGAGACCCTCAGATTTGATGAGGTGGAATGCTGATTAACAGGAACAACTGCAGCAAAGTTAGGATAGTTTTGCGTGTCAAGCCTCGCCAAGAATCAAGTTAACTCAGAGATCTCCTCTGAAGTAGTGAGGGCTCTTTCAGGAGGCTGTGTACTCTGCTTGGCAGGCTGCGGAGAGGAAGTGAGGTGCGTTTTGTAGAGAGAAGAAAGGGAAGAACAACAGTGCTTCTCTGGGGACAAGGAAACCTTTTCTTGTGTGGGTTGAGTGTAACACTGAAACACCTGAATTCCACAGGTAGTAAGGGTCCATTTGTGATTTTAAAAAAAAATACTCTAAATGATTTGTGGGCTCTGAAGTTTCAACATCAAGGAAGTGAACGTGACTTTTCTAAACTGTTGTGACTTTTGGGCACTTAGCAGGCAAACTGGGAAAGCTTTTTTTAGCTGACTGCTGTACAGACTTGTTTTAAGTAGAATGGATTTGTTAGTGGGGTTTTTTTAATTGTAATGCTATTATTGGCTGCCCTCCTGTCTAAGATTTGAAAAAGTGAGTGCATGCAATGGAAGTACAAGAGGCCCCAGTAATAGTTCTCCATGTTTGTTATGAAATAGACACAGGTTTCCTTTTTATGACTTTTTTTAAAACTGTCTTAAGAACAGTTGTATTGGTACTTTTTTTAAGTTTAGGTCAATGTTGTCTTCCAGAATAAGTTTTAAGGCATCACTCACTCCTGCATTGAACTATCGCACCAACACAAAGAGTGGAGATTCCATTCTGAGCCAGTTCAATTGTGAAAATTCATACTTTTTTTATTTTTTATGCAATTCAATGAGTAGATGAGCTCAGACTTAAATTCTTAAAAGCACGTTTATTGTAACAAGAATTGTTATGTATTAATACTTCAGTTTTCAATAAAGATTGACTTGTGTTGCTTATTGTGGTTTTTTCCTGCTGTCTTTGGTGACATCCTGTTAGAAAAGATCCTGTTGCTGGATAGCAGTATGGTATGTTTAAGCTCTTTAAGCTAATGAAGTCCGGTGATCGATCGAACCGAAGCAAAACATTTAAATTGGTTAAGTGACTTTTCTCAATAAGGTTTCTTAATGGCTCACAAAACACAGTAGCAAAGGCTTCCTGGGGGGAATAAGCTGCCCCAAGCTGTCCTGCCTGAGAGTATGGTAAAGATGGTGCAAGCCTGCCTCATTCCCTTTTGAGGCATTTCCTGGGGTTTCGTATTTTTATTACTTTATTTTATAGTTTAAACCAAAATGGAACAGATGTAAAATTTCACAATGCTTTAGCATTTACTTCATACTAAATAAATGCTGTTTCAGAGGTGACAGGCCTTGAGCAGAAAGCTGTTATAAATCAGTGTCTT